AAATTTGGATATATATTTAAGATTGAGTAAAATTACGTTAGAAAAAAATCTTTTTCTAAAATTAAATTTTCTACTTCTAACTTAATTTTTATATTTACATACCTTTGATCTCCTTTTTCTAAGCCAGAACTCAATATATAAATTATAATATATGAGGGGAAGTAAAAAACTATTGCTAACAATCAGGAAAACCTTGATTAAACAAAAATATCAAAATGTGAAGCTATTGCTTCTTGACATATCCTCCATTTAGGTCTATACACTTCTTTCTGAAGGCAATCCTTTTCACATCTCTAACCCTTCCCAGAAGCATTTTGTTCTCTTTAATTTACACCTCCCATCAAAATGGCAGATTTGGCATCCTTGAAGTACTCAAATCATGTTCCTTTTAAATGCCCTTTGAGTCTAGGGTACAAAAAGATGTCTGAAAGGGAAAGATCAGGGCTTTAGGATAGATGGGATAAGGTTTTCCAAAGACATTCTCACAGGACAGCCCATGCTACACTTGAAAAATAAACAAGTGCATTGCCACAATGGAAAAAAAATGCAGTTTTCCATTTTGTTAAAACTTCTTCGTGACAGGTCCCCAGTACTGTCCCGTGTCCTTTGGGAAATCTATCACAACTATCCTGTTTGGAAGCTCTAAAAACAGTTGCCGTCAACTTCTGCGCTAGTCTCTCTGCCCTGGACTTAAACCGACCTTAAAGATCCCTTCAGAAGTCATTGTTTTGAATGGATTGTTTATTTTTAAGGCACTCTGTCCTGGTATGGCGCTATATAAGATAATGCACCGGACAAGGTTGGTTTGAACTGCAAAGTCAGCATTTCAAACTCACCAGTCATTCCTCGGAAACCTTATACAGGGTCTCTAAGAGTAGGAAGCAACTTGATGGCATGTAACAACAGAGATTGGGACCCTGATATAGCATTGTAAGATAAGCATTGGGCTGGTAATGGAACGGTTGGCAGTTCAAACCCACCAGTAGCTCTTAGAGACACTGCTCAGGGTTGTTATGAGTCAGAACTGACTTGATGGCATACAACAACAGAAACTAAGACAACTGTATTACTGAGAGAATTTTCCTTCAGCCATCCACTGAGAGTAGAGACAAGTTTAAATGCATTTTCTTTGGAATACACCATGCATGTATGAACTGTACATGCATGTAAGGAGTTCTGGTGTGGCACTGTAGGGAAAGCACTGGACCGCTAATTGCAAGACTGGTGTTTCAAATCCACTAGCCACTACTTGGAAACCCTAGATAGGGTCATTGTGAGTTGGAATTGACTTGATGGCACTTAAAAAAACAATATAAATAAAACAAAAGAAATAGTTTATAACCTCCAACAAATTCAAACTTAAAAAAAAAAAAAAGCCTTTTCTTAGTTAGCTGTCACACACAGTTAACCTAATCACATTTGTAACTCTTTAAGTAAACACATTTTCAGGTTGCCTCAAGGAAGCCCCAAAGAAATTATGGTAACATAAGGAGCTCTCGTAGCATAGTGGTTATAAATCGGGCTGCTAACCTCAGGGTCAGCAGTTCGATACTATCAGCTGTTCCGCAGCAGAAAGATGAGGCTTTCTGCTCCCATAAAGATTTACAGTCTCAGAAACCCTGCACAGGGTCACTATGAGTCGGAACTGACTCCACAGCACGTAACAACAACAATAACAAGGAAATAATACTGTATTTTTCTTTTATCGTATTTTAGTTTATAAAAATCTGAAAATAATTGGACAAATCTTTATGGAGTACATCATTTGCATTTTTCCTTCTATTTACATTTCTCTTTATTACTATTTACTGACAATTGTTTATAAAGTTCTAACCATTAATTTTTCAAAGGCACAGTGTAAGCTCAACATTTATAAAATCAAGTATATTTATTCAAGTTTCCTAGATTCCATTAACATTTTCTGTCATTCTTTATTATTACAAAGGGATATATTACCAGCACACAGAGAAAGGGCCAATACCCTCTCTAAGTAATTCTCAGTTACCAATCCTACCATCAGTATCCATCATTAAGAGAGAAATGAGGATAAAGAACTTTTGCCTTTTGCAACTTGAAAAAGCAAAGATTATATATTTTGGGAGTAGGCTAGTAAATGAGAGACAGTAAAAAAGGCAAAGGGTACTTTTTATAAACACATGTGACTTCTAATAAAAATGATAGCATTTTAGAATCTCACTTTGTAATCCATTATTTTTCTAATATTTATCAAGTATTCATTATGTACTTGGTAAGTATTCGACTCTGAGGAAATAACAAACTCAGAATATATATGATCACTGCCCTTGAAGAGCTTACACTCTAAAGAGAAAGCATGAAACAGACAAATTTTAATAAGCAAGGTTTTAAGTGTTTAGTCAGCACAAACCAAAGGGTAGGGAACACATTCATTATTCAAACAGAATTTTGAAAACTCCTGACCAAGAAGGATATGCATATTTGTAAAAACATTACCCATATCTAAAATCTCAAAACATTCAAAAATAACACAGCATGAGAAAAAGAAGCAAATGAACCCTTCAACTGCTGCTACAAATAGCAGCAGATGCAAACCTAACTGAGATGAGATAGGAAAGAAAGAGGTCAGTAAATAAACAAGCTTTTAGTAAAAGAACAAAAATTAAAATGTACTGTAAGTTAAGCTGCTGGTTAGGAGATGATTACCTGAACTTCTTCAAACTCACTTCAGTACACAGCAGAGGCCTTCTTGGAGGCTGTATCTGGGAAGATAAGAAGCTACTTTCCTGTGTGTTCCTCTCATTTCCATGTTAAAGCATACATGAAACTATGATGATCAAACTGTATGTTGTACTAATGTGTAATGGGAAGATAATGTGTGTACTTTCCATCAGTTAATATATAGATTCAAAAATGGCATTTTTTCCCTTTCTATACAATGGATGCACTTATGCTAAGTTTTTGATCTTGATCATTTTGACTAAAAAAGTAATTTCTTTGATGAAAATTATAATTTACTTGCTGTAGCATTCATTCTGTGTTATAAACTTGATTTCCATGACTAGAGTAATTATATATAATTCTACATTATGAATCAAATGACTGCAAACAATGTTTAAAATAAATAAATCTCAATCACAATAGAGTTAAATTTGGGTTTCTGGAGAAAATATTCACAGCGAAAAATTTCAAATGAAATGATAATCTATTAAGATGATGGTCACTCAAATAAAGAATCAACACATATTACCCTCAATCGGAACAAAGTTAATCAAAACATTTCAAAATATGAAAAAGACAGAGTTGGTGGAAGCCAAAGCAACTATCAGAATGAAAACAGCAGAAAGACAGTATTTCAGTTCCACTAATACAGATTTTTTTTTTTTTTTACAAAGGGAAAATTACAAAACTTTTATTATAGATATACTTGTTTCATTCTACTATGTTAAAATTATTTTTAATAAAATTCTCCTACCTCATTATTTGAATCTTGAATAACTTTGTAGAGGGCTGGTACCAGTGTTTTTTTCCGGTGTAAAGTTGCTGCATAATTGGTGATCTGAGTGTCAGGTAATGTCTAAAAGAAAACACCAAAATAAACAAAAGACAACTTAATATTTGGGAAGCCAAGAACTTTATCTTACATGATCCTACCTGAAAAGAGTTATAATAGAATCAACTAAGAAAAGTGAAATTAATTAATATAAAAAATAACCATGATACCCATTTGACCTTGCCTTGATGGCTTGATATTCAGAACTCAACTAGAGGAAGATAAACAACAGAGAAAACCAACAACTCAATTTTTGATAAAGGAAACAAGTGTAAATTGCTACAATTTGATGAGCTTGACCTAGACTCATGGAGGTAGTAACTCTAAATACCAACAGAGAGGGAAGGAGTCTTCATAGCAAGTATCAATGCTATACCGTCTGTACACAGTGTAGATAAGGACGGGCAATTTAGACACTGGCTACATTAAATGAGGGGATGATACAGGCACGAAGGGACTGGCTTACAAGGTTTCAAGGGGGAGATAGTTTAAGAGTGTTTGGGGGAAGAAAGAGTCCTCACTGCATAGTTTCATCTTGTACAGATGGGTCTGGTGAAAAGAGATGGGGATAAGATTCTTATGATCAATAGTGAGTAGTTGTTACCATGACTAATTGTGACTGTCACAACTATCCAGGTAGAAGTTTTAAAACAAAAACGAGGGAGCAGTTAATCTTACAGTACAGAAACAAAGGACCCTAGGATCATCAAGGGAGAGGAGCATTAAGCAGAATGCGGGACCTTATCCAGTGAAGCACCGATACCAGAGAGGAGGCAGAGATGGGGACATGAAGAGAGGGAGCAGCTGAGGACTCAAGATTCATGGAAAGAGAGGGACTAAGAGATTGTGGTCAGGAGGCAGACTTGTTGAATGTGCCCTTTGGTGGTGTAAATTATTATATACGCCTGAGAGTTGTTTTTAAAGAAAAAAAAAAAAAAAGAGCTAAAGTGAACAGAGGCAAATACTGTTAACTGACGGTACATGGAGGAGATTATAATCATTGTAATGAAACAAGGTGTATGATTTGTTGAATGTAAAACTGATGATCTGCCATGTGAATTTTCACTCAATCCACAATAAAATCCTTAAAAAAAAACCAAAAAACCACGAGAATAAACTATTATTTTAAGATGCTATTTTATACAATTATTTTAACTATTCAACCTTGAAAAATAATTAGAAATCACAAATGAAAAACAAGATTAATTGAAATCGGTCACCTTAAACTAGTAAACTGGTCTACAAAGTAATGCAGGAGATATTTCAATTCTTACATTTTATATTTTTAAAAGCCCTTTAATTGCAACAACTTCATAAATTCTATGATTTCCAATCATGAGTGATTGTTGTTTATGGGAAACAAAAACCTAAATAAAACACATGTCCTATTTCTGTACTTTATTAAAGCTTGAAGGCTGACCCTTTCACTATGTTTTAAAATTTAGATATCCCTCAATTATATCCTTTTTGTATACTATCTTCTAACCATACCCATAGAAGTGCTTTCTTTAAGAGTTGTAACTGAAACATTTAGTTCGTATTTTACTATTTTCACTTCATATCAAAACATCTGTACAAGTTTCTCCAAAGAGCACATATTTGCTGTACGACTAAATTGTTGTTGTTGTTGTTAGGTGCCATCGAGTCGGTACCGACCCATAGTGACCTTATGCACAGCAGAATGAAACACTGCCCGATCCTGGGCAAACCTCACTACTGTTGCCACACTTGAGCCCACTGACGCTGCCACTTGGCCAATCCATCTCGTTGGGGTTCCTCCTCTTCTTCTCTGACCCTCCGCCTTACCAAACACAATATCCTCCTCCAGTGACTGTTCCCTCCTGACAATATGTCCAAAATATGAGACGAAGTTTGGCCATCTTGGCCTCCAAGAAACACTCTGGCTGCACCTCTTCCAAAAAGGATCTACTGGATCCGATTAAATTACTGACACTAAAATCACATAATACATTTGTACCCCCCACAATCCAATTTACCTTGAATTCTGATAACCATTCTTCCACAACACCACGTTCAGATCCCAGCATCTTCTACTTTTTAGTTTTCTTTTATATCTGAAAGGAAAAAAAAAACAAACACTGAAAGTGAGGACAGAATTTCTTACAGAAACTACCAGAAACAAAAGATGTATGCCTTAAGCTAAAGGAGAAACTTATTTAGCATATATAAAGATAAGTAAAAAAGTATTGCTATAAAATCACAGAAAACTTGATTAAAAATATCAAAATGTGAAATGTCTGTTTCTCAGCATCTCCTCCATCTATGCCTATACACTTCTGAAGGATGTATGGTGGTGTAAATTATTAGATATGCCTGAGTGGTTTTTTTTGTTTGTTTTTAAAAAAATGTAAAGTGAATTAAGAGAAATACTGTTAACTGATTGTACATGGAGGGGATTATAATTTTAATGAAACAAGGTGTATGGTATGTTGAATGTAAAACTGATGATCAGCCCTGTAAACTTTCACTCAATCCAAAATAAAAACCTTAAAAAAAAAAAAAAAAAAAGGTAAGCAAGTCAGATTAAGCTTGGATATTTCAGCAGAAACCATGCAGGGAAGAAGGCAATGGGGAGACATTAAAACCCTGAAAGAAAAAAACTGCCAACCAAGAATTCTTTATCCAGCAAAGCTATCAATCAAATACGATGGTGTCATCAAAACATCCCAGGATAAACAGAAGCTAAGGGATTTTTCCAAAGCCAACCCTACGCTACAAAACATCCTAAAGGGATTTCTGTGGACTGAAAACCAATAAGAACAGACAACAACCAGAGAATGACAAAAGTGGCAGCACCTCCCAGTATTGAATCGACAGAAGGAAGAGTCGAGAACAGAACAAAAAGATAAGAACAAACTCAGAGAATCTGGAGGTCAGTCTATGATCAAAACAATCACAACGTGAAGGAAGGTAAACATGTACGAACAGACATCCAGATGATGAGAAGGTCAGGTAGATCACAAGATAATATAGACTGCACTAAGTAGAAGGAAAAGTTAATGGAATATAAGGTAACCACAAAGAAAATTAGCACTTCATAACATACCAAGACAATGAAAATCCAAGACGAATATGGAAACATTAAAACTATGAGGAAACTCACAAGAAAGAACACAAAAACCATGAACTCAGCACAGGAAGAAATGCAGAACAAAGACAGCAGTAACACACAAAAAACCCAAACATAATGGCAGCAATTAATCTATACCTGAAAATCAAAACATCTGTACACATTTCTCCACAGAGCACATATTTGCTACTATCCTCAGGGTCAGCAGTTCGAAACTACCAGCTGCTCCGTGGAGAAAGATGAGGCTTTCTGCTCCCGTAAAAATTTATAGCCTCGGAAACCCTGTACAGGGTAGCTATGAGTTGGAACCGACTCCACAGTACATAACAACAACATCGATAATTACATTGAATGTAAATGGATTAAATGCACCAGTTTAGAGCCGGAGCATGGCAGAATGGATAAGAAAACAAGATCTTTCAATATGCTGTCTGCAAGAGACACATCTTACACACAGAGACAAAACAGATTAAAAGCCAAAGGATGGAAAAAAAATTATCAACACTCACAGAAGTAGCAGTCAAGAAACATGATATCCTTCTCCAGCAACTGTTCCCTCCTGACAATATGTCCAAAGTATGAGACACGAAGCTTAGCCATCCTGGCCTCCAAGGAGCACTCTGGCTACACTTCTTCCAAAACAGATCTATTGGTTCTTTTGGCAGTCCAT